TAGTTAGTTGGTTCTCATAACCAGTCTTGTAAAACACTGAGCAGCTGTTATTATTATTATTAATTATTATTATTGTTATTTTATTTTGAGTATTTTGAGACAACGTGATGAGAATTACTTCAATTTTGTTTTTAATCTTCCATATGTTTATTATTGTATACGCAATAGCAAGGAACAAAAACATTAACTTCTCAGTTGTTTAATTTTACTATTATATTGCTATTTTGACCATTGTTATAATGATGATGAAATTCTCTGTAAAAAAAACACACTTTTCCCCCGTAAACCTCAGTCAGGCGGTGCTGTCGCCACGTCGTTTGCCCGGGGAAGCGAGAGAGCAAGGGATCGCTGACATCTGGAGACAATTAAAGAAAGCAAAGAAAATGAGGGCGAGGCGTTTCCCCAATGCGGGGGCCGTGGGGGGGGGGCCTGGGCGGGCACCGGCCGCGAGGTCTTAGACCCGCGGTACACAGGTAACAAAGCCACTACCTCATTTAGCATTAAAAAGGCGAAACAATGAGGGAGTGAGATCATGTTCAGTATCTGGGAAAGAAGGGAGGGAAAAGAACGAGAGAAGGCCAGAGGTGGGATACAGCGGGTGCTTTTTGCCGGAGTTCAGCCGGAGCTGTGGCCATTCTGCTCCCGGTCGTCCCGAAGCCACCTCCCGCTGCTTCCCTTAACCACATTCTAAAAACCCATCTGTCAGGGCAGTATTGTCCGCCTGGCTCCTCTGCGGTGAGAGCGGTCATGTGACCCGAGATGGATTTAAGGTGGGCCACGTGGTCGGAAAAGAAAAGGTGGGACGGGGAAATACAGGGGGTGTGCTGAGGGGTGGGGGGGTTGAAGACCCACACCCTAGGGACACGCTGCTCTCCTTTGTGCCCCAGGTGGGGGCGGAGTAGGGGGGTCCTGTCGCATTCCAGTATGGCCCTGACCTCAGGCGTGATGAGTTCACTGGTCACTTTCTACTTTCTAGCCCCCCCAGAATGAAAACAGAGCCCCGTTGAGAAGCATCAAGCAGACATCTGTGAACCGTAATGCCCCCCCCCCCATTTCCGCCAGTATGAGGGCTCCGATTCGTTCCCCATCTATTATGTACGTCATCCACCGCCGACAGAAAGTGATGGAGTCCCAGAGCCAGAATGCACAGAGGGAGAAGGGCCTACGCTCCTCTCAGGGTGGACTGTGAAGTGATGAGACTCTGTCCCCTTAGCGTGCGATGACAGAGGCCCTGTGTCATCTTTGGCCACAGATGGTCTGCTCTGGCCTTGGGCACCTGCGCTTGGCGCAGCCCCGAGGTTCGGCTGAAGAGGCACTAAGTCCACCAAACGCGCCGGCTCTTGTGTCTGGCAGCAGCCCCTGCTCGCCACTGGGGTAGCAGGTCCTGCCGGGGGTCGGGCTTTTTGAGCCGGGGGGATCATCCTCCCCCCTACCCCCCGCAGACCTGCCTTTATTGCATTTCGCTGGTGCAGGGTCCTTGGAAGCAGTCACACCCACTCTAGTCTAATCACTGCTGGTGTTTAAAAAAGGCTCTTCTGGTTTTTCCGCATGGTGGGGGTGGGGAGGTGCATGTCCATGTTTCCCAGCCCAGCAGGCACTTAACCTGAGGGGAGACGGTTCATCGCCCTGAAGGGCCGGTTCATTAATTTCTGATTAAAGAACACACACTTGCTCTCACGCACGCACTTGACTCGAGCTGTCTTTGAGTGATCCAGAAACTAAACAGATCCACTCAAAATTTAGGACAAGGCTTGGAAAAGGAGCAGTTTTAATACCCAGGCTTAACACTGGTTTCAGGTGATGATGTAACAACTTGATTAAGTGGTTAGTAATCACTAAAAGGCCCTCTAGTCCGAGCTAAATGCCAGGCAGTATAGTAGGTTACCCCCAAACCTTGTCAGAGGTACTTAACCGGATTTGTGAAACATTCGACTCCATAAATGGGCAAACGGTAAGATGGTGAAGTCTCTATGCAGAAAAGCATGTTGTGGGGGGGGGGGGATTTGGGGGCTGTGCCTGGGAGGCCCGGAGCAGAGAGCCGACGGGACGAGCGTCCAGAGCCAAGTCGCCAAGTCAGGAGGCATTCATGCAGGTCCTGCGAGGCTCAAAGTCACCTGTCACGCTGTGAGGTGACAATTAGCCGCAGGATCAGCTGCCCAGGAAGGACCCAGGACGTGACCTCTGTGGCATGGGCAGCGAGACGGGTACAGAGGGGGCGACCGAGAGAGAGAGAGAGAGACGGGTGAGCAGCTTGATGCCTGAGCTGCGGCAGGTGCCCTCTCGGCTGTGCCGGCCGTCCTCGGGTGCTGGGCCGCTCCGCTGCCAGAGAGCCGGACCCAGTTTTGGCGGCGGGCACAGCAGTCGGCACGTTGGTCGGGGTGGGCGTGGTTCTCCCACCCGGCCAGGAAGTGGAGCTCAGCCACCTCTCCACCAGTGGTTCTAGGCAGAGCTGACTGTGCTGTGACTCTGGTTCTCTTCTAGGGTCAGGAGGACCACTAGTGAGACAGTGTGGTTACCGTGTCACCATACACACATAGGTACATACAACAGCACAGAGCACATGTCACACCCCAAACAACACACAGAAAACAATTACAGCAAAGACAATGCTAGTTTTTAAGTCATTCAGAAATGTTACTAATTCATGCATGCTCTGGGGGTGATTAATGCACTGAAAAATGTATTACATAATTCCTCAGAATCAGTATTTTGTGACCATTCTACAAGCTATAAAAAATCTGCAACAGGATGCAACAGGACCGCAAGTTAGTTGCATAAATGAGAATACACAAGGTATTGTCAGTAGTTCTCTGTCTTGGCATCTAAAGACTATGACCTGCTTCAGAATGGTGCTTATATGACTCAAGTTTCTTTTTTTGGAACTGAATTTTTTTTTAATCATAGGCCCACATAATCATATATTCTTCTACGCTCTATGAACTGTGTGGGCTATTTATCATTCGCTTTTTTTCGATTAGGTTAACCCTTCCTCAGTGTAAATAGGTGGATCAAACAGAGCAAACCAGCTTAAGTACGTCACCCAGGGTTTTATCAGTTGGTCCCTAGTGACAAACCTAGTTTTTCGACTAAAAGCTAAAAATTTTTTTTTTGGATTGCTGTAATTATCATGCATACCTCCATAAACTTAATGAGATCGACTCAAGGGATGGGCAGTTTTACCCAAAAGCCAAAAGCCTCACCTTGTGCACAAGTTAAAAGATGCATCAAATTGTGTTATGTATCATAGCATTTTAGTAAGCTAGGATTTGCCAGTCACTTCCTGCTACACCAGTATACGCTATCCCCAAAATTAGCATTGATATACTTCCATTGGGTTTATTTTTTGGTTATAAAAAGCAATGAATGTATAAGGAGATTTCAGGTGATGTCATGTTAGCTGTCCCTGTAAAATGAAAGAAAAACAGAGAGAAGAGCTTGCTTCCTATGGCGTGCATTTAGCTGGACGCTGGGCATAGGTAAGTGACGTTATGTCCTTTGCCGGTATAGTATGTTTTCATCCCTCCTGGGGGGGGCAGAGTAGGGTTGGAACAGTCGCTTTTCTCCCACAGGCTCTGTCATGTCCAGCAGTACTAAACACATCAACTGACAAGGTCTACTAACCCAGGGCCATGGAGAATTTAAGACTCAGTTGCCACTGGCTGCATCTCCACATTGTATTACAGGCGTTATTGTTATATTCTTTCCTCTAACAATAATTTAGTGAGAAGCCTTAAAGTGTCCATCTGTATCCTGGGCAAGAGCTGACTTCTGACATGGATGCCAGGCGAACTCCGCTTCAGCCCAGGGATGGAAATCTCAGAATCTCATAGTACCAGGCTGTGGGAGGCTGTCAGGCCGTTGATATTTGTCTTGGGTATTTAATAAAAGCTGGCAAAGTCTTTATCTAAAAGCACCAATGACACATCCCACCTTGAGGCTTCCTTGTGGAGAAGCACTGAGGAGGGTAAGGGTGACAACTACCACCCCCCCCCCCCCCAACTTCTGCAAGAGCAGTGTCCCTCCAGAGACCCATGAGATCAGGATTCTCGCACACCTCGCCGTGTTCTGCCTGAGGGCCTCTCACAGGTTCGATTTCTTACCCTTAAATCTGGAGCTGAAAATGAGAAACTCTAAATTAGATACGCAGTCGTGCTCGAGCCTGACCACATCTTTCACACCTTGCGCTCCCCGGGACCTGCAAGTGCTTAGACGTTGCTGTGGCCCCAGGAAGGCCTCTCCACGTCTGTCGGAAAGTGTATCAAAGCATGGCTTCCATGTTATGAACAGGTCCTATATGACACTACATTTTGTACATCGTCTTTCCGTAATCAAATTGGTAAATTATGAATTTTAACCATTTTTAAAAAAAGCTTCCAGAATAGGCAGATTAAACATTTAAGTCGATGCTATTTAAATTTATCTTAAAACAGCATAAAGCAAAAATGTTTGTTACAATATTCTTTTTGCCTTCAGTTACAGTGCCTCAAAAATATGATGAAGCTTTCATCATTATTTCTCCATTGATTAATTCGATATATTTAACCATCAGAACAGACAATAAAACGGAAATAATTTGAGTTAATTGTTTGATTTCTAATGTGAGTTTTCTGTCGTTTATTGTTTGTTTGTTAGAACTCGCATTCCCATAAGACATAGTGGAATTTGGTCTCACGTGATCACGAATGAGCAAATCCTAAGCGTGGCTCGGTGACGTATCCGGGGTCGTCCGCTACCCAGGCGCAGAAATGTCCTTAGATATGAAGGCGTCGAAGGAAGGTAGCTACTAAGCTCTTCCTCTTCTCTGAACACGTCAAATTGTTACGTACTTCTTCTTGAACGCAGATTGTACTTATGTTCGATAGCAGTAACTAACAGACAGGCATGCTTTTTATTGTTTTTATGGCGCTAGCGCTCCACATCGAAGATATCTCACCGCACATTGCTAAGTGAGACGGCGTCACCATTAGCATTAAGCGCTCATAATTTCCCGTTTTAAAAATGTTTGTGTGGCGCCTTTTGCGGGGAGGACAGCCGCTCTCACTTTGCGACACTTGTTTACAAGGTCGCGTAAGATTGTCATTTATCGTCCCAAATGACCTCCCGTGTCCCGGTGCCGTTAGAATCACGCGGTCAGCTCGAGATGAACGTGGTTCGTTTGTGAACCGTGATGAGGATAAGAGCCTGGTTTCATAACCTTCGTAAGGACGCAGGTTCGAGTCCTGGCAGGTCCTTATCTGCTGTACGCTGGAGTTAGGTGTTGCCCTTTAAGTTTAATACTTGTAACTGACACCCCGATGCCTAAACCAGCAGCATTTAAAGCAGATTTTGAATGTTGTGATGATTATTTATTAGAAATGAATGTCAGTGTTAAACCCGTCGATAGTCGGGAATACATATTCGTGTTTCATTTTGGAGAAAATGTGTCTCAGAAAAGGTTTTTGACTTCCGGACTTAGATCGTGCCATTGAACGACGTTTGCTACCTGTAATCCACCGCGTGAGTTAAGTTAGTGTAGATATTTAATTTCTTCTATCTGATCGAACAACATTTTGTGTAACAGCGGTTTGAAAAACTGGTTGATACTGCTTTGTAGTTGTTGGCATTTATTGTATTGAGTAAAGTCTTAATGGTAGAACTTCATCATGGTGATGAACATGGTTAGAAAAACCCACATGGTTTAATGAACAGCATCTTCCTTTAAAGTAGCCTCAATCTAAAGAAATCTTGGAGAACTTTACTTTAAGTACTTTAAGGCCCCCCTGAGCAGTATTTAGAAGTTAGCCTTTTCTGAGACTTAGTGTTCTTCTCACAGACGAGGTGGTAGATGGACATCTTACTAACTGAAATCTTGCCCAAACCGTTAAGTGTTTGACTGTCATCTTGGATCATGCCGGCAGGTTGCCAGCCTTTACTGCAGTAAAGCAGCCTGTAGCAGGCTGTTTGGCATCCCAGTCTGATTTGTACACATTCCTTAAGTCTTCGGTCTGAGTGCAGCTAGCATTTTTTGCGGCGTTCCTTAGGAAGCAGAGGATGTTCTGATCTGATCCTCCAGGTGGCCAAGCACCTTTAATGGCTCAGACGGGTCTCAGGCTCTGCATATTGCTCCAGGGGCCGGCTGCCTTTTGCAAACCGAGGAGTGGTGTCTGGGGACGGGAGTTTCTGTGAGACAGGAGGCTTGTTTGTGGCCCGTTATTGATGCTTGGATGGAAAAGTGCCCACTGGGGCTTTTAGGAGAGAAGCCCTGTCCCACAGATTAAAAGGGGAATTGGAGTGTACATCAGTCCACGGTTTAGACATGCTGTCAGCCTTTGCTGCCTTTAGGGGGTTTAAGGTAGTGCCGAGGGAGAAGTATGAGGTGAGGTTCTCGTACCATATGGACTTTGCTTTGGTATTACGTTATTCCTGTCCATCTCCCCCAATTTGATAGTGTTTTTTTTTTTTTTTTTTGAACTTGTCTGGAATGCGGTGACCCCTGATGGACATTTCCTTCTGGTCTTTTAATGCATTCGTTTCTTCTAGGGGAGCCAGCACTGCGTCACGTGGAACTGGATGTCCTCATTCCGAAGCTAATGAGAGAGAAGGCCAGGGAGCGCTGTGCAGATAAGGTGGAAGGTATGTGCACACACACGGACGCACACACACGGACACACACACGCAGAGCACCTGCCAGGTGTGACCTTTTTAACCTGTGTCTGGTCATGTGGCTGCAAATAAAGCCATTGGAGTAACAGCATCCCAGATAACATTTAATCTCTTACTTGCAGTGAGTCAGGTTTTCTGAATGTATTTGGAAAAAATTACATCAGGATTGATGATTGATATGCAAGAGTAGACCTGACCAGTGTACACTGAGTCCAGGATGACTTACTAGTGCAGTTGTTATTTGCAGTATTTCCCTCTTTTTTTAGTCTTTCTTCATCTTGCTTAAGGCTCCGGAGATGGCAAATATAGCCTGAGTTTGCAGGCTGTGAACATTTTACTTCCCATAAATTCAGCTGCGAGTTGCACAAGTTGTGCATAGTTCAGAGTCTGCTGTATGGTGTATTGGTGGCAAGTTTTGTACCAAATGGGCGTGACTCCTGAGTTAAATGGTTGGGACAGTAAAAAAAGAAAGTGTTCGAAGTGATAAAACATCTGAGTGAATTTGGCTTGCTTACGTTTTCTGATTTAACTACTTTCCTCGAGCTGAGATAATATTTTTGATATTAAAAGTTGTTAAATATCCTAGCATTTGATTGACCATGGATATTATGTACTGTGTCATTAAATTACGCAACATGTTGTCAGAAACAAAATTGTAAAATACGGAAGTTAATTTGCTGCCTTTAATTCTGGTAAAACCCAGGGCTGTACATCCTAACTTTCCGCTCACCGAAATCTGCAACAAGAAACACAATTTGACATGTTTGTGTAACACAATGCATAACTGCTTAATTAATAAAACTAAAAAAATTAAATGCATAAATAAGCAAATGAATAAATGGCGGAGATGAAATGTTTAGAAATTGCAGGAAAGGTCACCCGCTAGACCTACATTTCAAATTCTCACTCTGAGGAGAGTCGTACCGCAATACAGCACCCCCATTGCATGCTGGGAGGGTTCACAGAAATAATTGTCATTAACACCTCAATCAGTGTGAGCCTCTGCCACTTTTTAATTAAACCAAACTAATGCAACGCAGGAAATAAATATTCAGCTACTGTTTCATTCCTCATTAGAATTTAAACCCAAAGCACCAGTTCTGAATATCGCCAGTCTTTTACATCGGCGTGCAAAAACTCATAGCCCGTTATCGTGCACACTCTGTAGAGCAAACCAGGGAATGCTGCAGCACAAGTATTTGCCGATTAGCCTGTACACAACGGAAAAAGGCAGCTTTTAAAATTCGTTTTTATTTTTACTTTTGAGAAATGTGGTTTCACAACTGTGTTCACGCCTTGGATGGTGCAGCCGATCTACTTGTGATAACCACCCATTCTTTCATTGAGTTGAAACAAGACTTAATTCCTCTTAGCTGCTAAAAAGTTGAGCACTGGCTCTTTGTGTTAGCAGGGTTAGCTTCTGTTTAAACATAACATCTCACTATCTGCATTGATTATCATATTAATTATTTAATGCCAGTTTGTGCAAGTTTTTATTGATTTATTGCCTCTTTTAATGATACACTATTTTGGAGTCATCAATTATATTTTGAGATGTTCCAAATATTGAATTAAATAGCCGATCACCAAACATTTTTTTCTAAATGATCACAATGTGACATATAAACATAATTTCATTTCAATATCGTTTTCCCACATTTTTGCTTTTTGATTGCTGACGTGACCACAACGTATTGCATGCCCAGGCATGCAAATGGCTGGACATGTCAACCAAGCAAACGAGAGGTGTCCAGGCCCGATGGCAGGAGCGAATCAGGGGAAGGTGCGCTGCGTTAAATCGCCATCGCTGAGGGTGACACGTGCGGCGGTGCCCATCGCTGGTCGTCGCAAAGTCACATGGCCGTACCTCGGCACCAAGCGACTAAACTGCCTCGACCCGGGTCGCTGCCGTTGGTCTAATTTGTTAGCGTTAATTAGCTGGTTTCATGCGATCACACTTCGGGCTCTCGAGCAGGAGTATGTGCTTCGCTGAAGGGAGCGTACATGCTCCCAGCCTGGGGGCCCAGAAAAAACACGGCGGTCTGCAAGCTTCGCCTTGCAGTCCGATTCTCCAGGCGACTGCACCTTATGTTTGAATTTGTTTGTTTTTCTTTATTATTATTTTTTCTCCGACTGTGTTCTTTTATAATTAGCTGTAATATATACACCAAGTTGGGGACAATACTGATAAAGAAGGGCACACACACACACACACACACACACACGCGTATCCTGGCAGTAGACTGGAGTGTTTTCTCTGGGGTGTTGAGATCAGGGAACTTGATAATTCAAACTCACCAGCAAAATGTCAATAACTCATTCCATCTTATTTTGCCTTCACACGTCGGATTTTACATGTGGAGGAAGAAGTCAACCCATGTGTGTTTTGTGCATGTTCATGGGTGTGCGCTTGTGCTCCACAGTCTGTTTTCATCATCAATGATCAATCTTTCATAAAAAAAAAACAACTTTTACTTTAGCTAGAACCTCAATAAGAAAAATAATGACTTTCTATAGTTCTCTTCTTGCCCTGTTAATCTAGATGAAATTGCACCACGCAACGGCATGATAGTGGATTAAACAAGGAAAAGAATTTGCCTTGTGTTTAGGGGTACTTGTGCGGTAAACATATTTAAAAAGCAGACAGACTTTTCATATGATTGCTGTCTGACTAACAGATCGATAGATCGACAGAAGTTTATCGAAGGAAGCACAGGGCTTTAATGTAATGTTTTAGTAGCTACAGAAATATATTCACACCATCGGTTTATATCTGATATTGTGACTCAATAATGTGCATATAATATCATGGTTTGCTATACTTAATGCATCAGACAATGCATATTAGTTGCATAAGGGAATTTATTGTATAGGTTTATTACTCCATATGCTAGTGTCTGTAGTTGCATTCACATATGTATGTATCTCAGTGGTATTACATTACTCAAGCTAATGGTGTCTTTCAAGTTAATAGGTAAATGACACAAAAATATAGTCTCCTCATTTTGACATGCGCATAGATGTATAACTAATATGTTTTGGCCTGCTGAATGTCTGGTGTTTCGACATTACTGTTTTGAGTCAGGGTCGGCTTTTGTGTATGGCCCGCGCTGTGCGGGACCATGTCAAACGGCATGGAAACCCCCTCTCCTTTACACCCTCCCACACCGAGACGCTCCTTTGGTTTGTTTGTGTTTTTTTTTTTTGTTTTTTTTTTTCTTTGTGTGTTACTCTCACTTCGTTTACTGTGAGTGTGACTGCGAGCATTTAGCCGCTACAAAGCACAGAACCTTGCCTCCAGCAAACAGCTTTCGTTCGTCTTTCGTTTGTCTTCCCCTTTTTTCGTCTCATGCCCTTTTCTTTCTCAGCTGGGTTTTCCAAAATTAAAACAAATTACTCCGGCTGATAACCCCTCCCCCCAACCCAAGAGAATCCCTTAACATTTTCTTTAGCGTTGAGTTATATTAGCATTGGCGGTTGCTGTGCCCTATGTGGCCTTTGTCTGAAAGGTTTGAGTGTGGATAACCTTAAATAACCTCATAAATGCTCTTACTTCTCTGATGTCCAGTTGGACACAATGGGTTTTATGGGTACCGGGGTTACATGCTGTATGGCTGCACCATAAAGAAACAAGCATGGCTTGTATTAGTGCTCAACCAGATGAAGGCATACATTAGCCTATATGGGAAAATTAATATCTGTGTCTGAAATAGCAATTTAGAGCTCTGTTATTAAGTAAACAAGCAGCTATGGGCTTTGACTTATAGTGACACTTGACTTAAATTTTGGTCATTTATGCTTTAACAACCTAGTTTCCAATAAAGATTTTCAGCTTTTTTTTTTTTTTCTGATAACCACCACGTAAATTAGTGTATTTTTTTTTTTTGGAATTATGACTGTTGTCATGTAAATGTGATATTAATATGATAGCCAGGATAGGATTATGTTTACTGTCAGCTGTAACCTGCATTCCCTGCAGTTAATGTGAGTCCAGATGAGGACCCCGAGAAATCTGTGAAATAATCACATGACGGTGAAAAAGCGTTAACGGGCTTCAGAGTGCGCGTCTGGACCTGCACATTCTGGACGGCTGTCTGCGATTAACAAGGCACCCCGCCCCCCGACCCCGTCCTCTTTTGGTCCTGGCCTGTGGAAGCTGTCTGAGCACCAGAAAGCCAGTCCCACCGTCCAACATCGCCGAGCAGCTCAGAGATGCGCTGCCCTCTCACCGTGAGCTTCCACACTGAACAGTACTTCCTGCAGTGTTACTCGGCCAGAAGTCGCAGCCTGGCACCGCCCTCCCCCCATGGCACAGTCTGCTGTGCTGTTGACCTCTGACACTGCGATGATGTGCGATGTCCACAGGCTGTGCTGTTGTTTTTACAAAATCTCCAGCCATGTCTTACATGGGGTTAAATAACTTTTCAGCCTATTGAAAGACAGGCAGCCTGAACACTAACCGCTTGTTTGTTGGTATAATCATTGTTGTTTTTTTGCAGCATAATTTTACTGACTTTCATAAGCTTTCATTAGTGGATCCTAATGTGTAACTACTACTTGTCTGGTTTTGTTCATCCACCAGGATCACCACAACAATGCACTGGATCAGTGGTGTGCGTCTAATATGTGTTTCAGTCTTTATTATAATTAATCAAAAAGTATGTTGTAATTGAAACAGTAACCCATTGTATAGGCCATGATTTGACCTGTGAGAATATTATTCAGGTTTTAAATTGTAAGAGTTTTATTTTGAACCTGTGCATATGTGGTAGGCGTAAGGCAGGTCCAGGAAACCTCAGAGGGTGGACATATGAACATTTATGTTTGTATATTTATTGCCTCATTCTTCCATTCCTTTATAGACCGCAAAATAGAATTCCTCAGTAGTTCAAAATCATCGTCAAATGATGTATGTTTTTGTTCTGACTGCTCTAGATAGGTGAAATACTGCACTGAATAGTGAAGACTCA